GTGTTTCTTCATACAGCTGAGGGTCCAGCGACCCCTTCATACTCTCCTTGTCTCGGTATACTGGTCCTCGGCGTGCTCGTCATAGGTCCTGGATTCTGGTTCCGAGGACGGGTCACTAGTCGGTCATACCGGAGGAACGCGATGTCTCCCCTCGCCCTGGCCTCCCTTAACATCGGCATCAACTCCCTTCTTCTCTTCCTCACAGACTCGGTGTAATCTTCATTTATATAAATATTAGATCCTTTAAGCTTCTTTGCTTGTTGCAGTATGTGTGCCTTATCTTTCTCTTTCATCAACTTTACCATCACCGCCCTCGGTCCCCGATCAGAAGGTTTCCCGACTCTGTGAGCCCGCTCCATCTCAATTTCTTGATGAATTTGCAGTTTCTCCTTTAATATTACCTTCACCTTACATTCCGCATCCGTCCAGCTTTCTCCAGCTGACTCCTTGATTCCCTCGAAGATCAGGTTTTTTCGCTTGGACTGTACTTCCAAATGCTCCATTTTATCCGTTATGGCTATTAGACTCTCACAAGTTTTGTAGACATCATCCCTTGTTTCCTTGGTTTGTATTTTCTGTTCACCCATGGCTGCTTTAATCACATCCACATCTCGCTGGGTAAACTGCAAACTCGTTTTTATCTCCTGTATTTCTCTGGTCATGTCGTCGAGTCTCTTGTTATTTGTCTCCATAATTAGTTGCACAAAACCTTTGAAGTTGTCTTGTTGTTGGCTCAACAGTGCGGTGTACATCTGCTTCTGCTGACTCAACATCTCTGTTGCGCCACTGAAATATAATCCTCTTCTGCCTCAACATCCTCGTTCGCTTTTGATTTATTAGCTCTTTTCCCTCTTGGAGGCATTTTAATAGTTGTAGAATTTGTTGAAAGACTTGAAAATGTAGAAGATGTGAAAAATCGTAGAACAGACAGGAGCAGTAAACGTCTGCTCTCCCTTGCAACCCAGAAATATGAATAGGAAGTGCCTACAAAACAAAATTTACCAAATGAAACCAGAAGTTAACCAACCCTTCTGGTCTTAAACAGCAGTGGTCCCAGTCATGTGCCTTTTGAGGTCAGTGTATGCACAGTATCATTTCCTCCCAATTACTACTAAAATCTGGATAAGCATATTGAATGAAAGAGAAGCATATCAATGACTGTGAATATGGGCATGTACAGCTGAAGATGCCTGGGCCTTACTAGTGCACAAATCACTACAATCTAGGATTGACTGTGAACTTTGTGAATTCAGTCAACAGTACATCTTTTTTTTTTTTTCTTGTACGTGCATGTGCTGTTACACAGATGCAGTCGTTGCCCCCTAGTGTGGCAGGAGGGGTGGTGTACCAGCCTGGTGCTCCACCCAACTACCCAGGCACCTTCAGCCCTGCTGGTTCTGTGGAGGGTTCACCTATGCATAACATCTATATGAACCAGCCTGGGCAGACAGCGCCACCACAGTACCAGGCCATGCCCAGCACTGCCACAGGTGAGGAGGACAACAAGAAGACAGTCCACAAAATTTAGTTACTTCATCACATTTAATCATGACTGACTGTCCTCACTTCCTGCAGACCCCAATATGGTTAATGCATACATGTACCAGGCTGCAAGCAACAATGGGCAGCCTGCTCCTCCTCCCGGTCAGGCTCCACCCACTACAAGTCCACCCTACTCCAACTATCAGCCCACATCCACACAGGGCTACCAGGTCTGATTGAGTCCCCGCTTTCAGTTTCTGATTACTACATTCTGTTGGTGTAATTAATTTCAAAGAACTATCCTGCTAATCTTTGCCCCTGTTCTGTGCAGAATGTGGTCTCTCAGGCCCAGAGTATGCCTCCTATGTCTCAGCCTCCTCCAACTAACGGAATGGGTTACATGGGTTACCAGCCTTACAGCATGCAGAACATGATTTCAGCATTACCAGGACAGGACCCCAATATGCCGCCCCAACAGCCGTACATGCCCAGCCAGCAACCTATGTACCAGCAGGTCAGTCATTAATTTGTTTTTTCCTTTAACAGGTGTTAGTAGTAAGAAACATTCCAAAACGGTGTGGTAAATTAGCTAAGCTGTCTGCTAGTCGCACTTTTTTAAATCACTGGTATATTCTTTATGTTCTGCTTTTCACAGCAGTAGATTGTGTCAATCGTTGCAAATGATTAAACTTGCTCCTTCTTTTCTTCCTAGGTGGCTCCCCCTGGTGGCCCACAGCAACAGCAGCCACAGGCTCAGCAGCAGGCCCCTCAGGCTGTGCCGGGCAGCGCAGAGGCACAGCTCATCTCCTTCGACTGAATGCCAACACACTGCAGGGTCTGATACACTACACCCTCTCTCCTCCCTTGGTCTCACTCTTCCCTCTCTGGACTTTTGAGGATGCCCTCTGGAAACACACACACCTCCTTTCCCACCTTCCACCTTACTGTGATGTTGTGGCAGTGTGAAATATTGTGATGTTGCAGAACTCTTGCTCTCCTTGCCTCTCCCCCACTGAAGTACGAGAACACGAGGTGAAGCTGCAAGAGAGGGCGCCGTAACCCAGATCTTTCCACTGTCTTTCCAGCTGATATGTATGTAGTATTTCCTTATTAAATAACTGAATCTCAGAAATAGTCAGTGGTATAAAAGTTAAAAGTGAATAAGAAAATATAACTGAGGATGAAAAAAAAAGACATAACCATCTGTTATCTCATATTTTTCTAAAGGAAAACTTGCATGTTAAATTTTAATCATTTTCTGCAATGGAAGTGAATTATTGCAACCTATCCTAACACTTTGGGGAGTGACTGAGAGACATGCATGTGCTGTTGACAAGGTTGTGGGTGTGTGGATAAAGAGTGATGTCTTGGGAGAGAAAGCACAGTCTAAGGCCTGAATTAAATAGCACTAACTCTCCATCAGGTTCATTGCTTGACATTCCAGTTGTAGTTTTTTTTTGGGTTCCATCACTTTTCCTGCACACAGCCACACACAAGCTATAGTCATTTATGTTGTTTAGCATTTATTTGTTATTCACTGCTTGGATTGAGTGTCAATGTAGGTTCTGAGAGGATGAAACATGGCAGGGACTATACTTTCTGGGAGGAGTTGGAAAATTAGCTGTGCAGCTGTTTAATCTTCACCAAGTATTAAATCATTTAAATTACACAACTAGCAGCCATAAAATAAACATGCTAATCCAGTCCAGCACCTCTGAACCCATTTATTTAAATGACTTGTGTTGCCTAACAAAAAGTACCATCATAGCCTGTAATTAACAGAAATTGCTTCTGGGTGCCACATCCCATGATCAGTCGGTTGTGATTGTCACAGATGAGGATTTCTACTTGGTAAACACAGATGTTCACTCTCCTCCAGTGTAATTGGTTCTCAAGAAATGTGGATATATTTGCTGAGCGAAGATGATGTCCTGCATGTATGTATCGCACTCAGTGAGTTCTGTAACCCTTCAGTTGCCATCTGTGAACTTTGTTCCATCATACTGATCTGTCTGACTTTAAAGTAATTTTAAAATTATATTTAATAAACATCTGGTTCTTATTGACCACTTGCTTCATTTTGTTCTTTTCATACCTTTGTATAGAGTTTGCCCATGAAGCATATTGTAATACAGTTGACAGCATCACTACTATAGTCATTCATTTGAATTGTCGAATGTGTCTGATGCACATAGGACAGATTATCTTCTGATCTGAACATGTCTTGAGACTCCAGTTTGATGTCTGATGGCTGCCTGATGATAAAGGGTAGCTTCAATTTTATTTGTATAGTGCCAAATCACAACAGAAGTCATCTCAGGACACTTTGCAAATGAAGGTCTAGACCTTATTATTATTATTATTATTATTATTATTGTAGAGGAAAAACCGAACAAATCCCCCTTGAGTAAGCACTTGGCAACAGTGGGGAGGAAAAACTCCCTTTAACAGAAGAAATCTCCGACAGACCCCGGCTCTTGGTGGGCGGCCTTCTTGCCTCGACCCGTTGGTGTGAGTAGATGGAGGAGAGAGAAAAGAAGAAAAGCAACAAGACACAACAAACACAATGACAAACAAACACTGGGATACCTGCAGAAAGGTACAGAGAAAGGAGACAAAGGCTATGACATGCTGCCCAGTTCCAGAGCCCTGCTCTAAAGCAAACAGCTGCTTGTGGGAATAGTCCTTCAACACAATGAGCACATACCCACCCACTTTCTCTCTGGCTGAGGAGACCGCAGCATGATCTGATGGAGAAAAGCAGAAAAACATGTCACTTTATCATTTTGTGCTGTAAGCCTGTGAAATGTTTTTTTTTTTCTTCTCCCACCATCACTTGTGCTGGTTGACGGATGCTAGAGGGGAAATGGCATACTGATGGAGGCTGGAGGTAGTGAAGGAATATACAGTAACAGCAGATTTGTGCAGAGATTAAGAGGATTCCTTTTGTGCTCCTCTCCAGTGTCCGGTACTGGTAAGGTACAAGCAGTGAAAACAGAAACAAAGAAATCAATTATTTATTCTCTAATAGAATATAAAAGTAATTTTGTGCAAGACATCTTGTTTCCTAAAACACTAGACCCTATGCATGAATATTTAATTTGGATTTGCTAACACAATCATAACACATTTAGTCAAAACTCAATAGAACAAAGATTCATAAGAGAGCAGGTGCAATGGGGACATGGAAAAGAATAAATAGCTAAATGACTGCATCCTTAAAATTTACATTTAAGTTAATTATAAATAGATTCTTATGTCTTGTATTTATCATATTATATATGATAAATAGATATTATATACAGTATGTAAAAGGACTAGGTCTAATCATATAATTAGTCTGTCTATGGGTATTATCTAGTATCTACTTGGGGAAAATAACTAAGGGTACGTTTACACGGAAACGCTCTTGACTGTAAACGCATAGTTTCGTTAAAACGATTGCTGTGTAGACGGGAAGTATTTGCGTTGACGTGAAAACGAATAAAACGATGTCTGAGCATGCGCATTACTTTTGAAGACGATGGCGTCATTAGCGACTTCTAGCGACTTTTAGGACTACAAATATCTACTTTCCTTGCTGAGGAGTTGGCAACACTGCGCGAACACTACGAAGTTACCAACATTAGTTTGTTGGTTGCAGCAGTAGTAAAGGAGCAGTTGTACTAATGCTAATAAGTTCATTAGCATCTGTGTGAAGCATGAAAACATATAGTTCGCCATTGTTTATGTTGATGTCGCAGTCAATGTGACACTAGCAGTAGCTGACGCGGGGCGATGGCGTCATCGTTTCGTAAACATATGCGGATTATCACGTTGACACGAAAATGTTTTAGCTGGTGTTTTGAAACTCTCCACTTTGGGACCCGTTTTAAAAAGTCTCCGTTTTCGCTACCTGGCTAACCTGTTTCCGTCTAAACGGAAAGTAGGCGTTTACAGTCAAGAGCGTTTCCGTGTAAACGTACCCTAAGTATCTTCCTTAATTTGGTTTCCAGCCCTTTTGGCTTGTGGCCTCTTTAAAAAAAGTTGTTAACAGTTCCACCAGAGAGACAGTTTCCTTCACATGGCTTTATTTACCTAACAAAGGCATAATATGGCTCAGCATGTTCAACATCCCAGTCCCGTTTATGTATTTATTGGCCGTGTCCCTTATGGGCTACCATAGTACTTCTAGCGGTTCACGGAGTGCATTGTGGGTAGGTCAGGAACAGAGAGGACGCCATGTGCTTTTGAAGTAGAGGGGTTTGAGAGACACCTGAGCGCGACAAGCTTATTTTGGTTTTAGAGGAACACCGGGACTAAAGGCTCCAGTTAACGTTAGCATGTACTGCTCCAGACGCTGCCTCCGGACCGCGCTGCGGGTTGCAGCGATCACACATCGGTATGTAGCAAATCACAGAACGCCGGAGCAGCGGTAATGGTGCATCGGTGTCTTGACTGTCTGTATCCTCAAGGGCAGTGGCTGCTGCTGGCGTTTTTTGTTGTAAAACATGCTATTTTCTCTGTATGTGGGGTAAATACCGACAGTGTGTATTGTCTGATGTTAGGAATAAGTCTGATGTTTTTCAGCAGTGGTTAAACGGGCTAACGTTAGCTTAACCACCCGGGCTTTGGTACCGTGAAACAGTTTACGCTCGTCTGTAGCTTGGTTGTGAAAACAACATATGGAATCGGTCTGATATTTCTTCCAAGCAGCTAATGTTCTGGAAGCCAAGGTCACACTCGTCTATTGGAAATCATACTTTTGCTGGTGCCCACAAGCAGCACATTTCTTCTTTGGTTGTGTATGTTACGGTTGTGCACAGAGCAGAGCTGTGCCCACTAATATGATCTAAAAGTTCAATGAAACTGATCATTTGTTTTTGTCCCGATCATCTAATGCAAGTAAAATCAACAAACTCCCAAGAATGAGAAGCTGCAACGAAGGAATTATAATTGTTAACGTAAATTTTCTGTCGATCTATTAACTTGTCATTTCAGTTCTATTGCAAATTGTTGTAGTATTTTACCGCTTGTCTCCTAAAAGCATTGAAATAAATCTTCACCCAGTAGCAATAAACGTACTACATTGTAATGCTTTTAAAGAGTGAAAGTATATTATGGTAGAGTTTGGCCTAATTGAGATGAAGTGATCAGCAGTACTTTATGAATAAAAATGAATCTCTTAAACTTTGTGCATGTCTAGCGTGAGAAACACTTCTGACATGTTCGGTGTGCCAGTGCTTGTTGGTAAGCAGCAGTCAGCGATAAAGTCAAAATTAGAATGCTGGAAGAAAATATGAACAGAAGTGACAGCACAGTTAGGATGCAGATCTTTTTTGTTGACTCCTCACACACACTCTTGATATATTTGGATGCATGATGTCTTGTATTCTGATCTCCGAGGAGAATTGTTGAGGACCAGACGCAGTCGGTTATTTTTGTTTTCCAGGCAACAGCTTCAGCGTCAGGCTCCGGCCTTGTGTGCTCTCAGACCTCTGAAGACCAGTCCAGCCATCCACTCAGATGCCATTGCCACCCCGCCGTTAGATGATGCCCCCAAACAGTATTCCCCGAAAATCCAACAGCTCGTCAATGACATCGCCAGTCTCACTTTGTTAGAGGTGTCAGACCTCAATGAGCTCCTCAAGGTTTGTGGGAAACTCACTTGTCAAAGAGACTGTTCTGATCCATGCCTGTTGCTGTGTTGAGTGATTATTTATTTTACCTTTGTTGTAGAAAACCCTGAACATTCAGGATGTGGGAATGATGCCGATGGCTGCGTCAGCTGCACCCGTGGCTCAGGTGAGGATTATTTTACAGGCTAGTTTTTAAACAGAGTACAGAAAAGGATCAACTTAACTGGACTACCTAACAACATAACATCATCCAGTACACCACCGTCACAACTACAGCTTAAGAAATGATTTAGTTGAGTCAGCACTTCTTCAACACAGAACTTACATATGTGATCACAGCAAGCGTCACTGATTCATCAAAGAGCCCATGGCATGCACATTTCCAGCCATTTAATGTTTAATCTTGGGGACCTCTGGATTAGCTTTGCACCCATCATAACTCTAAATAGTCAATTTATTTCAGAACGGTAAAACCTGATGTCCCGACTTGTGTCAACCAAGTTGCTTCTGTATAGAAGTACAACAACTTGGGTACACCTGAGCTTTCTGTCACGTTTAAGATGATAATTCATTGTTGTAACACTGTAGGTAAGTCAGAAAACACAGAAAAGCATGTCATGGACACTTTACCTTTTTATGCCAGAGTGTCAAGTCAACAGTTGTAATTCAAATGCACTAACAAATATGCAACATTTCCCCCTGTGTGAAACTAGGACACAGAAGAGGAGGAGGCGGCACCAGTCAGGAAAGAGAAAACTCACTTTACTGTAAAATTAACAGAATTGAAGGCTGCTGAAAAAGTAAAACTTATAAAGGAAGTGAAGAACTGCATCCTAGGCTTGAATCTGGTGCAGGTAGGTCTCCTCATTATTGTTACGTTCTCAGTCCTGATCATTTAAGAGTACCTTCTGGAGGTTTTGGGCAGCAGCTATGCTAAGGATAACATTCTTATGACATAACAAATTCCTGCTCCCAGGTTTTTGCTGTTGTGTTGATTGACATGTTGAGCAGGACTTTCTTGGCATGTACAAGAAGTGCGCTTGACTATTTGCCACAGCTCCGTCTGTGTAGCATTTCTACAGTGACATTAAGGCAGCTGCTTTTTCTAACACCTAATTATTTAGCAAAAAAAGTTTTATTGTTTTGAAAAACATTCAGTTGCACCTTAAATAAATGTGGTTGCAAAATGCAGCTGATTGCTCGCAGTCTGGACCCTGATATATTCAGTTGCTATAGTAATGTCAGAGGTCAATTCAGGACGGTACGATACATCCTGTAATCGCTCTCTCTCGCTTTCTGTAATTCCTAAACCAGGCTAAGAAACTAGTGGAGTCTCTTCCTCAAGAAATCCGGGCCAATGTATCCAAAGAGGAGGCAGAGAAACTGAAAGCAGCCCTGGAGGCAGCAGGTGGCACTGTGGTGTTGGAGTAGATCTGTGTGCCCACTGGTTCTCTACCATTTTGCTGGTCATGCACTTCTTTCATTCTACTGTTTTTTTTTAACACAACAAAGAAGAGAGGATCTGGGAGCAAAGAAAACAAAGCAATGCCTTCTGACATTAATACCGGAGCGTCAGCTGGGCCAGTACATCTCAGACTGAACTGCCCAGACACACAGCCTGCACAAGTGGCTGCCCCATTGTTTGCTTGTTTATTTGTCTGCTCATGTGTGATACTTGTTTCATATGAAAGTATCACATAAAAATACTGGCCTGGGTGTCAAGTCAGTCCGTCTTTTCACAGAAGGAAGGACTATACTGTAGGGACACACATTGGCCACTTTAATATCCACACCTGTACAATTGTATGCAATTCAGTGCAACACTTCTGCCTTAGCATCTGTGTTTATGAAGCTGAGGAGGATACAAATATAGATGCCTATGAATATAATGTAGTCCAGTACAACACCACCTTTAACTATGACCTCACTAATAAACGTATATTTGAACTTATTCATTTATGACAGTTTCACCATTTTGAGCTTCGTAAACACAGCTGTTAAGGCAGGAGGTGTTGCACTGAAGTGTACACGGATGTACAGGTGTACCTAATAAAGTGGCTGCTCAGTGTAGGTACCATTTCCTTACTGTGTTCAAGAGCACCAGATACTGTCTCTAGTTCAGGGGGTTGTAGGGCTCAGTCCTTAAATTGCTCATAATAATGCAATTAAAGTTGAAATGTATTTAAATAGTTTCCCTCATATTTTTGTTGCTTTTATGCAGAATCTTGGTTTTCCAATATACAGATTCTCCAAATCTGTACCAGTTTTCAGGAGGAAGTGGTGACTAGATGGCATCATGGCGTACTGCAGCTGGCCACTAGAGGTCATGAGAAAACATTTAATCTCTTCAGGCAGAAGGAGATGGGTTGTTTGAACCACATTTTGCCTCTGTGTGTTACAGATGTTTTATTATGATGATTTAATTTTGACATGACGGAAACCAGCTGCTGTCTTAGAAGAGAGGAAAGCTGTTTCAAAGCTTGTGGCAGCTTATGCTTTAGACAGATAAAGGATTTTTTTTCTAATATAAAACAATTAGCAGAATAATCTCAAATGCAAACTTGTATTGCACCCAGTTAATCTCAAACCCAAAGAATATACAAAGAGTCACATGTCCTGGAAAACTTGGAATCTTTTAAACCAGGTTTCGAGTCATGGAAATTGAATAAATTGCACAATATCCTGAAAAAACACTTTGTCATCCTGGAAAAAAAGTTTTCACATTTTTGTATTTTCCTTTTGCTGAGAGCAAAATGTCAGATGTCGGTACAGGCTGGCAGCTGAGATTAGGGCAATGTGTGAGCTCACAGGTTAAATTTAGAATGGCAAGGGCAGACTTTTATGGCCTGCTTTTAGTCATGTTTATGTACGCTGCCACGTCACATCAGGCTGGTGAAGATGGTGTGAATACAAAAACTGGATGGATAAAATCACTGGAATGTAGCCAGACTACCAAGAAATGTAAGTAGCTTGATAGTTGAAGTGGAAACATACAGTGGGTATGGAAAGTATTCAGACCCCTTTAAATTTTTTCACTCTTTGTTATATTGCAGCCATATGCTAAAATCATTTAAGTTCATTTTTTTCCTCATTAATGTACACACAGCACCCCATATTGACAGAAAAACACAGAATGTTTGACATTTTTGCAGATTTATTAAAAAAGAAAAACTGAAATATCACATGGTCATAAGTATTCAGACCCTTTGCTGTGACACTCATATATTTAACTTAGGTGCTGTCCATTTCTTCTGATCATCCCAGAGATGGTTCTACACCTTCATTTGAGTCCAGCTGTGTTTGATTATACTGATTGGACGTGATTAGGAAAAGCCACACACCTGTCTATATAAGACCCTACAGCTCACACTGCATGTCAGAGCAAATGAGAATCATGAAGTCAAAGGAACTGCCTGAAGAGCTCAGAGACAGAACTGTGGCAAGGCACAGATCTGGCCAAGGTTACAAAAAAAAAAAGAATTTCTGCTGCACTTAAGGTTCCTAAGAGCACAGTGGCCTCCACAATCCTTAAATGGAAGACGTTTGGGACGACCACAACCCTTCCTAGAGCTGGCCGTCCGGCCAAACTGAGCTATCGGAGGAGAAGAGCCTTGGTGAGAGAGGTACAGAAGAACCCAAAGATGACTGTGGCTGAACTCCAGAGATGCAGTCGGGAGATGGGAGAAAGTTGTAGAAAGTCAACCATCACTGCAGCCCCCCCAAACGTCTTCCATTTAAGGATTATGGAGGCCACTGTGCTCTTTGGAACCTTAAGTGCAGCAGAAATTTTTTTTGTAACCTTGGCCAGATCTGTGCCTTGCCACAATTCTGTCTGTGAGCTCTTCAGGCAGTTCCTTTGACCTCATGATTCTCATTTGCTCTGACATGCACTGTGAGCTGTAGGGTCTTAGACAGGTGTGTGGCTTTCCTAATCATGTCCAATCAGTATAATCAAACACAGCTGGACTCAAATGAAGGTGTAGAACCATCTCAGGGATGATCAGAAGAAATGGACAGCACCTAAGTTAAATATATGAGTGTCACAGCGAAGGGTCTGAATACTTATGACCATGTGATATTTCAGTTTTTCTTTTTTAATAAATCTGCAAAAATGTCACAAATTCTGTGTTTTTCTGTCAATATGGGGTGCTGTGTGTACATTGATGAGGAAAAAAATGAACTTAAATGATTTTAGCATATGGCTGCAATATAACAAAGAGTGAAAAATTTAAGGGGGTCTGAATACTTTCCGTACCCACTGTAAATAACATTTGGCTAGTAACGACTTTTACCTTTAAACATTTTTAAGATTTATTGCTCCACCACTTGTAGAACTATAGTTTAATGTCAGGCAGCTAGTTGGCTGGTTGTTTAACGTGATACGTTGAGCAAACATCGATAATTTTGTTTACACGGGAGTCATGCATGGTACACAATTTACTGCAGAACTTGGCCATGGGCTTATCGTCCTGTTCCCCCTCAGTGAATAACTCTGTGCAGTTCTGTCTGAGTGAGACTCAGAAATTTGTCCCAGAGGGTGATGTGCTGAAAATGAAACCCTGCTGTCGGTGATAATGATTTGACCTGGACAAGAATAACTGAGGTTCATGTAAAATGAGATCCAGTGACAGAATAGAACTTGAATATAGGTTCAGAATGTGGACCACTGGCTGTAACAGTACAACAATTTGAAATGAGAATCACGTAGACTTTATTGTGTTTTTTTTTTTTTTTAACATTTGCATTCTGATCTCTCAAAATGTACCTTTTAAAAAAAATTACGTGCAGTAAAATGTGAGTAATCCAAAATGTGTTCATTTTTTAGGAACACCTAGCTGAAACAGTCCTGCATCAAACCCTTAACATCATGAAGGTTATAATGGGTGTGGTGTTGTTGCATTGTACTGCATTACTCAGATGTATAATGATATCTATCAGGTCAAAGGTCAGAAACGCAGATCAATAATGCTGCATCCAAAAATGCCAATGGGGCTGTATAATAGGATGGTTGAATCTATTCTTGGCAAACATTTATTTGAACTTAATGACATTTGATCTGTTAGTACATACCACATTCACAAACCTACGGTAGCAGTCAAGTTGATTGATGTTTTTTAAATAGTAACATACACGTCCTCCCACAAACAGTCAGCAAGAAGGCTACTTGACTGGATGAGCTCAGCCACGTGGTCTTCCAAAATGTCCAGCTCATAATGAGAAACAATTTTCATCAAGCTCACGTGCACTATTGTGCAGTTAAGATGAATAGCATGTACCAGTCACCAGCAGCACTGAGGGAAGAGGATGAAAAGCATAGTGTTGGACAAAGCCACCCCAGCAACCTGTGAGAGGCTAACACTTTCTTTTCCTTTGGACTTTGTTCCACTAACAACATGCAGAAGAATCACATTTCTCTTTGGTATCTCTGTGGAGTCGCCTCCAGCGCAGCTGCCCGCTTAATACACCCACTGAATTTAATTAAGGTAAAAGATAATAGATTTATAACTTAATTACCACTATAGCTCATTTTTTTCATTAAGAAATTAACCAGATGATACATTTAGGCCTCATTAACCCATCTGCAGCAAGTTGGAATGAAGATGATCAGGATGACCTTTAACGCAGTGAAGACAGACAGTTCTGGCTCTTTACAGTGGCTTCAGTGCATCCCTTTGTCAACAGGTGAGCATAAACATATATATGTATATATTCTTTACATTATTTCTTTTTCTCTCCCCTAGATGACATATTCTGCTTCACAGTTTGCCATTTATGAGAGTGT